ACCTACTGCAACCAAAATCAGACACAGAATTTGATACACCATAAATCAAATTAATAATTTTCAGAAAGACAAATGATGTATGAGAAAAATATTTATTTTAAAAAAGCCAATTTGTTTAAGTGGGGTTAAGAATTAAAACGGGATAAGAAGCACCTTGAAGTGTGACATGGACTGTAACAACCACTTTATCACTTTTGCTGAGACAGTATGCAAAAACTCATCTCAGATATAGACACAAAGTTCAGAGAAAATTGAAAAGACATAAAGACAACACTGAAACTGTACACGTTACTATAGTGAGCATAGAATGTGTGCACACGCTGCAGAAATTGTCCACCTCGTACACATTCACCCTCACAATGGATTTACTTCTGACAGCATTTGTCAATATAGAAGAGAAAAAAACTACCAAGAAAAACCCAGAGTAGATGAAGAATGTATCATTTCCCCTGTCTACTTCCTTTAACAACAGCCATTTAGGATTACCTGTGCTCTACAGCAATTCTCTTTCCCCAAGTTCCCTTCCCTTTATCACCGCACAGAGCTATGAAAAAGAGCTAGGAAAATGCATGCGTTTTAGATCATTAAAGTACACAACTGGTATTTATCTAAATACACAGATAAAATCTTCCAGATCAACTGCATGTAAGTGACCATCTTACTAGAAAAGTGACTTCACTGGCAGTAACCACAGTGTGGAAAAAAAAGCAAATTTGTCAACTTTGCTGTGTCGGGGCAAAGCAAGATGCACAATTATACAATGCAGAGGGCCAATGCTTGGCTCTAATCCTTCATAGCTTAAATTATAGTTTCGATACCAAAAATCCAGCCAGGGTACTTTGTGTTTGAGCATGTATTAACACCCAGACAATCACATCCACACTTACGCACGCCATAAATAGCACTGGCCGCTGCCCTTGTGACATGAAATGCAATAACTTGATAATTTTATTAATAAAATCATCTCTTTTCTCCCTCCTGCTGCATCATTCCCTCAAGCCCTTCCCTTAAGCTCCTTTATATCAGCTCACTGTCTTCCCTGGCACCCTGTCCTTTTAATGAATCACCAGTCAGTGTATGAAGGCTCTTGTTTTCCAGTCTCCCTTTGAAGCCTTCCTCTCGCTTCCTTCCTTTTCTCATATGTCACTCAGCTTTATTCTGTCTCTTGCTCTACCAGCAGACAGACAGTGCTGCCTGTTGCATTGTTTGGATTGCATTGGTTTTGCCAGCAGGAATTCGTCACATTCACAATTGCAGAAAAATACTGATCAAAGGATAATTATTCTGTAAGACCAGGCTCTGGTACAAAGAACATCTCCATTCATTTGTAAGAAAAGAGAGATCAATATATGCAGATGCAATATTAGCTGGTCAATTGCCATGTCTAACTGATTAGAAACAAAGGGGATTTCATGATTGATGCATGTGACTCATCACCGTGTCTCATTCTGTCTGCTTTAATGTTCTGTCTTTTCATATCACGTCCTACGTAAAGCAATCGAATCATACGCGGTGTCCACTCTCATCAAGTCACTGAGGATCATATGAGCAACAGCTGATGAATGGGATGTGAATGAGACGAAATGGAAAAAAAAAAAGTGAAAATATTAATAAATGCACACTTGCTACTGACATGATAACAAACTGATTTCATTTGACATATACCCATTAACTATGATTACATTACAAAATGACATTCACTGATCACATTTCTGGTGTGAAGACATTGTCCTCAACATCAAAAGGAAGGGCATTGCTGAGGCTGTCATCACTAAGTACAGAGGCTTTGTTAACAAACACCAAAGACAGAAAAAAACACAGAATTTTTATGGCTTCATTTATGATTTAACAAATTGGCTAACAATGTATTAAGGAGTATTAAAGAACAATATTAAAGTGTCTTTAAAGTTGTCTTTAACTACACTGTACTTGCAAAGCATTTATTGTTAGTTATTTTTGGTATAGTTGCTCATTACAATTAAATATAAAAAGACTTTTTAATATACTTTTTTGCATAACGTGAGAATTTGTACATGTTGTAGGCAAACTGTAGCAGACAGGCTAGTGTTTGACAAGTGAGTGTCTTTGTGCATTTTCCCAAGGTGATCAGACAGTACTAGCCCCGGAGCAGGAACTTTTTAGTGAACAGAAAATAAGACAAAAACATCAGATTTAGATGTCTTGAAGACAGGTGGGTAAGATAGTTCCTTGCTTTTTTTTGCATTTGTTTTTTTTTTTTTTTTTTAGTTTAATAAGGACTTTAGTCAGCTTTAAAAAAGTGATACAAATTAGTAATTCAGTATCAACTAAATCATTTGTAATTGTTTTGACTTATAACTAAGTAAGTGTAATTGAGTAATCTATGACTTTTTTTCCATTCACTTGGTACACTGTGAGGAAAAGAAAAATATTGTAGTTCGAGACCTTCTGAGCAAAATTGGCTTTGAAGACTAATCTCTGAAAGCTTTTTATGTGGAGCATGAGATCGAAGTACTCAATTTTAAGCCAGTGGGCTACGGTTTTCAGAGAGACTGGCTCAAGAACTGAAAGAAGTCTGGAAGCCACAGTGACTCTTACATTGCACAGGAGCCAAAAAGCTCCTGACAGCTCAAAGTATTCATGTTCTTTAAAAATGGTGCCTTCCTTTCAGTAGCATGAGTCATGTGGGAGGTATATGCCTACCTTAAGTCAACATTAAAGAAAATATTTCCTACATTATATTGGAAAATCCATACGCGTCTGTCCAGCACTTTTGTTTTGAATAGCCACAGTGTTTGCATTACAGAAAAGCTGAAATTATTGTTTAGAGTTTGTTCAGAGGTAGTTCTTAGCAGCAAACCACTTGGATTTAATTTCTTGCTCCTCATTCAAAATGTCAGGGTCTTGATCTCAAGAACTCGGTAATTTTATGCAGGTTAAAAAGAAGACAAGTAAATGCAACTACAATGAAATGGCTGTTGATTGGAAGCAAGGTTTTAGTGCTAGTGTCGGTTTAGTAATTCAGTGGCTTCAAGTGATGCATTTTGGCAACAATTCTGGCCACTTTGCATCTTTGTCTTACAAAGCAAATGCCAAAGAGCAGAGGGAAGCATTTGTGGTTACTGATTAGAAGAGGTGCATAATTAGACCGTTCAAAAATGCTTTTAATGTAGTTGAGCTTTGACTTTGACCAAATCACACTTTTATCCTGAACTAAAATCATTTTCTCTTTTATGTAAATTGAATAAATATGCAGATTTTTATCAGGAGTTGACAGTTAATGCAAACACATAGATGCCTAAACAGTATATTTAGTTTAAATCTACAAATGTCATTTGTGTGTACTTTTTTCTGTATGTACAATTGTGTGTAAAGGTTCGGGCAGGATAGGGATGCTTGCAGGAACTGTCAGCTGATTTCCGAGCCCAATGAGAATGCTTCTCTTGAATTCTTATGGTAACACTCAACGATCATGGTCTACTTAAAGTAACTGAGTAAGGATCTGACAGTGATTCCAGCTACTGCCTTTCTGATGGCTGTGTGAGATGAAGGGGTTTGATTATTTTGTTTTCACAAATATTACAGCAAAATAGTCTACAGTATACTCTAGATTGAACATGTATTATTCTATAAAATATGTATACCTTTTAACGGCTTTAGTAGAGTATAGTATTTTAAAGGAGATATGCTGGTGTCGTAGGTGAGTAACTATGTGTTAAGCTCCTCAAACAGCAAATTCATATATAAGTGCATGTCTGCCCTTGAAAGCCTGTTTGTTTTGCTGTATATCTATGTTTGGCCACTTTATTTACCCTGTTTCACAAGGACAACAAAAGCATTTGGTTAAAGGAACTGATCTGAATTGCTCATTAAAAAGTCTTATGTGATTGAGAGAGGTTCTTAGAAATAATGCTTTCATCCTGATAACATAAGGCATCTGGAGTATTTTAACAACAAATTGGGAATTTGGCCCTCAAAAAGTGTATACTGCAAAGGAAGTTGGCAAGTATTTTATTTTTTTTGTCTGGACAAAATCTTGAAACCTTACTTAGAGAAACAGGTGTCAGAGGTTATCGACTTTCTTTGTTAAGTCAGACTTTCGGCATCACTTTCTATGCACGCTCACAAAAGGGGGGATTTGATGCCTCATTTGACTCTTCTTCAGCACTAAAAGTTTGTCACCAACTCCAGACACTCGTAACATTATCATAAGAATTGGTGATAAAGTTCACTAAAGAGTATAAAAAGGATAACAGTAAAATGCAGCACTGGTGATCCAAAGATAAGAGAATATTCTTGCAGAAGATCTTTAATTTTTTCCTAACATATCAGCTGCTGCATGTTCATCTTTATAGTTTAAATATTTAAATTATTTAAATGTTAATCAGTGTGTTCAGGTCTGACATTCTCTCACAGCCTAATAAGATCAGTTTAGTTTGGGAAAAGTTCAATACATAATACATTTTATTTGTTCTTAGAAATAGAACTTATCTGTTCTTTTATGTTTCTGAGTTCTATTAGCTGCAATTCCAGCGAGACAGTAGTTTAGGCCCTTTACAAAGTTTCTTACTGCTGTAACTTTACAGCTGTAACTTTCATTCAGTTAGGTATGGTTGCATATGTAATGCATCTTCCTTAAGCAGATAATCTATATTAGAATTACAGCTTATTTTAAATTAAAAAGAAACCATGACAATTTTGTGCTCGCTTGAATAGGTTGCATATAGCATATGTTACCATGGTGATTTAGCTAGGTAAAATGAGAGCTACCTTTATGAAACTCTGACTTTAACCTCAACATAGCTTGCCAACATATTAATCTCCCTCCACAGTGCATCACTAAAGCTTTCCTGAACATTATCCAGAGTATTATACTTTATTTTACCTGAAATGTTTTACCCATATCTTAACTGCATGCTGAGACATTCTTTTCTTTTTCTTTTCACTACCAACAGTTCAAGGAATTGACACCTGTTCACAAAGTTTTTCATATATTTATGTAATGAGTCATAATGTCTTACCTTTCCTACATATAGAGGCTCTGTTCCTGTATACTCCTCCACAACAAAGAACTGGTTCCACACCCATCCTCTCTTTACACGTTCAAGTGATGAGGGTCCTTGCTCTTGGTCTCTTTCTCCTGAAGTTGTTGTGCCACTAGTCCTTGAGGCTTCACACCAGGTAAAAATATTGCAGCTAAGTAGAGTTAGTGCTGCCAGTAGTGTCCAAACTCCTGATGTCCATGAAGGAGCCATTTTGATTTAAAAAAAAAAAAAAGAAAAACAATCCTTCCTGTGTCTACATGTAATTTAAAAGATTCATGCAAACAAGAGAAGGTTTTCTGTTGTAGTTTTATCTGAAATAAAACTCCAAAAGGACACGCTTAAAGGTCTTTGTGAAAGAGCTTGAAAGTTAATCCATGGGATCAGAAATCAATCTGAAGTTATCTGCCAAACACAGGGCAGGTCAGAGAGCATATAGGAGTTGTACCACCTGCAGAGTAACTGTTTGCACTGTGGCATTGTCAGTAATTCTGATTCTTCGTAGTGTTTACTCCAACTTATAGGGTCTTTTTTATTGTTTGTTTTCCTTAATATGTTATTTATGTGACCGAAAGTAGCTGGACAAATTGACTTTGGAAAATGTTATTCAAGGTTTTTGAAAGCAACAAAAACAGGCTTTGCTAGACAGGCTCACTGATCATTGAAGGAATTAGGAGGGCCAAGCATAGAATGACATTGAAAAGCATGCCTATGAAGACTGAGAGTGATAGCTTCCATCCATTTTTGACTTCGTATCGATTACTGCTCGCAGTGCTTCCATTTCCACTTCTAGCCATGTCACCTCCAGTAGCTGATGTGTGTTTCAGGTGGTTTGATACTAAGCTGCCAAAAAATGACTTGATTAAACTTTGCTGAAGAGAAAACTCTTCAGTAGTTCAGCTCCTCAAAAAGTCACAGCTGGCTTTACCTTCTGAAGCAGAAACCTTGAACTGACGAAAGGCCAAAGGATTTTACTGTTGGTGATAATGTTTGGTCTCTGACAGCTTTGCCCTTCAAAACAATCCATTGGTTTGGAAAGTTCATTCTTCAAAAGGTCCTACAGTGTTTTTTCAGCCATTATGACAGCTCCATCATGGATTGAAGGCAGGAAAAGAGGGAACCTGTAAAACAGAAAAGACACTGTTGTCATGGCCTCAGTATGGAAATAGTTTCTATTTGATAGATTTAAGGATTGACTAACCAGCAAAACGATGATGATGATTATCATTATTAATATTATTATTATTTTAGTTGTATTTTTTTCCCTTACTTGACCTGTTGTGGATTATTGGTGTCAATTTTTCATAGCTCTTTACAATCAATATTAAATCAATGTACAAATAATAAATAAAGAACAAATCCTATAGCACCGCTTTTTTGTTTAATTTATCTTTGTTTAACTCTGTGTTTTTGAACTACAAAACCCATAAGTGTTTTGGTTTTGTTAGGATTATCTGCAACGAACATTTTTCTATTAGTAATTCTTGTGTTCAGCAAGAATTCCAACAATTTGCTGGAGAATGGTGAAAACGGGATAGAAAGACAGGAAACCAGACAAGTGAAAAATAGGAAGGAAAATAGGAAGGAAAGAGAGAGAGAGTAAGAAAAAGAGAGAGAGGGGGGGGGGTGAGAGAAAGGGAACGCAAGCAAGAAAGGTCACTGTTCATCACACAGCAAACCCAAAGCATCTGTCTGCCTTTCATCCAACTGATGGAGCGGACCTAACCGCAGCCAGCTGATTAATTGCATGAGGGAACACTAATTGGATAAAAGTATTAATCAATTAATTCTATCCAATGAGGCAACACCCCCTAATACTTCAGACAAACATTGGAGAGTAGGAGGGGGTAACAGACATGGTCCTTGGCTGCTGTGAAACATGCACAGAGGCTGACAGAAAGGCAGAGTTGACAGAGCAGAGACAGAGAGGGTAAAAGCAGGGTTCTAAAGGAGACAGAAAGGAAGACATGAAGAAATTAAAGGGCCGAGAATATAAGAGGAAATGAAAGAGAGTGTGTTGTGTGGCTGTGGGTGTGATTTATGGCCTCTTTGAAACATTCAGAACAAAAGGACCAAAAGGAAAAGAAACAATAACATTTACTATGTCTCTGGCCTTACAACTTTAAGAAAGAAGATTGCAACACCAGCCGAAGAAAAGCTCCTAAGGCCAGCAGGTGGTTTAACCTATTTCTGCTGGCTTAGAAGGAATTTCTAATCGTGCTCTCCTGCTGCCCGGTAGCAAGCTTGGAGCATCCGGAAATAATTCCTTCTCAGACTGTTGGTCAAGGAAATGTCCGTGGTATTGGAAACCAACTGCTCCGGGGGTGTCCAATCTCCGGGGGAAACAGCTCAGGAGTAACTTAAACAGCTCAGATCTCTTTATTAACTTCAGCACAGTGAGTGTTAATAGAAAAACTGCACATTGATTTCAAAATATACAGTTTTGAAAATGTACAAACATTATCACTATTACAGTTGTGTGATGCAGGGATTGGTGTGCTACTCTAAGGTAAGTAATCATATAGCAAATTTTATTTTATGACTAAATGTTCAAGTATTGCATATTAACATTAAGGATTTTCAAAGCAGCAAATTTCCACAGGTTTACAATGAAATGAGAAACTAAATGATTTTGTCTTTTGGCATGCAAAACTGATGATCAGGTCGCATGTTTATCTATAAATTCTATGAAGAAGAAGAAGAAAGTGTACTTTATTGGTCCCCGTGGGGAAAATCCCTCTCTGCATTTAACCCATTCACTCAGTGAAGCAGTGGGCAGCCACTGGGCGCCCGGGGAGCAGTGTGTAGGGACGGTACCTTGCTCAGGGGTACCTCAGGGTAGCTGTTCAGGGGAATCGAACCCCCGACCTTCCGATCATGGGGCCACCACTCTACCTACTGAGCTATCCCTGCCCATGGCAGTCTATGGAGAGGCTAAACTGGCAACAGGCAAGTATTTTTCTTATTTAACTTTTGGTTGTAACATTCTGAAAGATTAAGGCTTGATTGCTCAACCAAAACTGAATGACGATAGCACATTCATTTTCCTCAGTAGCTACTGGTAACCTTCCCCAGGTAGCTGAAACAGCAGAGTTTAACAACTCTGTGCCAGATGGTTTGTTAAAGAGATCCATCTGGGAGACGTCCTTGGAAACTTTTTTAGGAAAGGGCAGGCACGTTTGGAAGCCATCAGCCAGCCAGTGATTCTTTCTATGTTTGGAAGGAATGAGAAACCCTGTTCATCAGTGAACAAACCACATATCAATTGCTGCCCAGAAGATGCTCTACATGCATTCACTCAATGTGGAGCAAATCCAGCTAGAAATTTTTCCTCAACTTTATTAAGAACCAGAACAGGGCTATGTATTAGCTTAGGGTAGGGTAGCTGGGTGTATTGAATCTGAAAAATTAAAGGACCCTTCTGTTCCATCATATAATCCCACATGATTTAGCAGACCACCCATGTCTTTTAAAAACATGTTCATGTTTGTTACTCTGACTGTTTTTTTGGGGGGGATACTAAATTTTGTGCTGTTGTTTATCCAGCAATGGATCCTATTACCATCTTATTTATAAATTGGCTTGTCAATGATAAGCTTACCAACAGCTTACAGAGGAAGGAGATGAATGCTAGGGCCATTTGAATGGCAAAAATCATAAACAGGGTTATTACTGTCAACATTGAGATTAGAATTATTCAACACAAATACACACCGACTGAAAACATCATGTATTGCAATTGTTATAACTAGTCTGGTATCTTACCACCAAATCATTTCTAAGCAACTGAACTCATTTAAGTTTGTTTGTTTTTTTGCTCATCAAGTGTTTTCAGTACATCAATCTATACAAAACCCACCAGTCTCTGTCAAGTGGTGACTTTGGTTAGAACTGTTAGGCAGAAGTGGCGATACACTGCTGTAAAGGAAAGGGGGTGTACTGGAATTACAATTTCAGATCAAGTGCGTAAATCGTTATGAAGTAGAATTCAGCACAATAATTTTTGTCTGGTTTTCAGAACTGTTAGACGTCAAAATGAGAGCTGAAAATAAATTGTATTAAATATGCGCAGAATACAAGGCCTTCTCTGACCCCAGTAGTCTTTCAGCACTATGCATAACACTGAACTGCGGTGAGATAATTTAGCAGTCAGGGACAACTTTGTTTCTCATCACAAATACACAACCCTAGACCTTTTAGTATGTTAGAACAACACCAACGGTGCACAGTGTGCCTTGGCACTACACACACGGCTGCCTGTGTCCACTAACAGTGGGAGTGTGGTTGTTGGCAGCGATAGGCCTATTTTCCAGCATTCTTTTCAGATGGAGCTTTGCTCAGACAGCAGTGATACAGAATGTGATCAAGCTTTTCTGGGTCTGCCATGTATCCCTCTCTAAAATCCACCACTTGTAACTGAAGATAATGACCATTCCCTGCTGCCTGGCATGGGGGATGACAGAGCGTTTTTTTCCCCACTGTGACCAGGCCACACCCACAGTTCTGATAAAGAGCAAGTTCCAACTTCATGTCTTCATACTACTGGACCATATTACCTGTCTGTCTGGTGTTTTGTTTTTTGTTTTTTTTCCGCAAGATATGCAAAAAACCCTGAGGTTAGCAAATTCATGTATAAAAAAATGTCCTGCTTATCCACCATGATCTCAGGTCCAAGGTCTGGCGAGGCAAAAGTTTACTCAACCAATAAACTTGCTGCTAAATGCAGTTTAGCGTCATCTAAAAACACACTGTACTGATGAAGAAAAAGGCACTATGATGAGTATAGCCCTAAGTTAAGTGTACTGTTTATTTTTGCAGTTTACCTCGCTGTTTATCTTACCCGAGGATTGAACTTCTGGCAAGAAGTATAAATTGTTGTACACTAGCTGGGCTCTTATTTAATTTTCACAGTGGCACCTGTAGCGACACACCAGCAGCAAATGTAGTGTCTCTAGGGCTTTTAACGCAGTCCTATTTTCTATCTGAACACCAAAAGTAACCAAATGCCAAATCCAAGAAGATATGTGTTACTCAAGAAGCACATACTTGACACTGACTAGTGTTCATTATTTCTGCAAATTATGTCTAAATAATTACTTTTATTCATTCATTTGTTCAATTCACGTCTCAGAGGAGACAGTTTTAAGAGACAGACTTAAAACTAAGACCCTGAAAAGACAGCCTAAAGACAGTTTTTTGTTGTTTTACAATGTAATGGATTACTACAATAAGTATATTTTTCAGTAATGTAACATTACATTACAGTTGTTTCTTGTGTTACAATGATTATTCATTTTTCATTTGTCTGCATTCCAGATAGAAAGCAAAAAATATCAGTATCGATTTCATTTCCTGTGTGGGAGGAGGAAAAGGGTGGAGTGAAGCACAGCTGTTCAGAATTGGCGATATGGAAATTACTTTTATTTTTATTGCACAAAAGGACATGAGTACATAAAGTGAAGCTGTGTCCAAGACAGAAACAACTGCATTATGCTGCTAACAGAACTTCGGTTCTCTGCATTCATCCGCACAGACAACATGTTAATGCACAGCTAGCCAAGAAAGAAAGCTGAGAGTTTGCTGACCCCAACCCAGCAGCCAGAGCCTGATCTTCAACAGGTAACAAAATAATACATGAATAAATATATAAGGAAGTGTAACCAGATAAAAGATGAATAATTACTGCCAGGCTCAGGATGGGATTTTGAGCCTGAGCAGAGCAGGTCAGAGTGGGTAGTGTGTCCAGAAAACCAGACAGGTTGCTGGCTGTGCAAAGCAGTGGGCGAGCTGTAGCTGAATGAAGTATCCAGAGTGTGGAGAACTAATCTGAGCAAATAAAGAGCGAGCAGAATAAAGAGCAGAACAGCCTCATCATTTCCAGGCCTGAGCAGGAGAGGTGAAATTGTGAAGAGCTGCAAACTGACGTGGAGCAAATTCTGTTATTCTGTTATAAAAATTATTCAAATGTGTTTATTACATTTTTGTCACCACCTGTGATGTCAATGGTAAAATCAGCTGTTCAGTCGGTTTCACAGTGAGCACTCTAACCATAGTCTTCAGTCACTAACCTGGCAGGCAAACCGACCATGTACTCATGCTTTCCAGCATACTTTTATTATCA